AATAAAAAATAATCTTTAAATTTGAATGATCTTCTTGTTGGATAACAGTTACTGATATATATATGAGTGAATAAATTGCAGCATAGAGGGCTAAGCGTTGGACCATAGCTGGGCACTGGACACGACATTTTAGCTTTCCTGTGTTAATATTTCACAAGTTTTATTTCGGTCATTCTTACACTTAGTGTGTGGATATGTGTGTGTTACAGTTATGTATCAGATATTCCTAGAAATACGAGACAAATCGCTTTCCTTATCGCTTCAAAAGAGAAGGCAACATTTAACAGCCAAATATGGGACGACTCCGTATCAGGCTAGCTTTATCTAACCTGAATATTTACAACCCTCCTGTCCTGTTGTCGATACACTGACAGAACTTACCTACTGTCTTTCAACCACATTGAAAGGCTTTTTTTCATCCCGCCAACAACTTTATCCTTCTCCCATTTTCTTTTTCTGTTTTGCGCCCCGGATAGTTTTTTTTTCTGGTGCTCCATCTTGCTGTTAAGTGTGCACTACGAGTGGTAGTCGAAGATAAAAAAAAAAACATGCCTGAGTGCGCCTCTTAGGGGCGCGTGCACAAGCCACCTGTGTGGGAAGGGAGAGCGACAGGAGGGGAGGTGAGGGGGGCGCATAATCAGTGCTGTCTCTCTGTTATTGATCGTTTTATGCTGTTAAATATAGAAAATGACAACTAGAAAAAAATTATTTTCTAGAGGGATTTTTTGACGCCCCCTCAAGTGCAGCGCCCCTATGCGTTGCATGCACTGCATACCCAGTTTTTGCGCCACTGCCTTTGCTAACAAATATATTTAAACTTCCATAATTTCTAGATAAAAGGTATAGTGGATAAAATTCCAGTTTAAGTTCTGGGGCATAAATCTTTTCCATTGTCATTACTTACCTACATGTATTAAAGACATTCTGCATAAAATTTATATTTACAATCACTAATATCTACATAAAAGTTTTTATTAAAATTCTTATTTATCTTTGATTTCACTGATGACTCCTAGATGACTGGCAGAGACACATATTTTTCCTCTTTACCACATATAACACAAAATCTAGTTCTGAAAAGAGCATGAATTCTGTACTTATCTTTGATTTTAGTATATTGATGTGTATAATTAATCTAAAAAAAATTTTTAATGTTTTGAATACTCCACTTGAGAGTATTACTGCTTCCACCGTCTGTATTAGAGGGAAAAAATGGTTGGGGTGGCCACCTCTAGTCCCCCATCTAGCTCCGCCCCTGTGTACAGAACGCCGAGCCGCTATGCATAATGTGTATTTTCAATTCTATTAAGTCTGCACTTAAGATATTGTCTGCAAGAAATCAGTATTAAGTCAGCAGCAGAAATAGGCCTATTGTTTTATCCAACACAATCGGTTAGAAATAAAGGTGGCTCTCTAAGAACAGAGTCCTTAACAACACTTCACAGTAAGATTAAAGGAAAAGTCCAGTCAGCAAGGAATAACCAATGGGTAATTATTTATACCTAAAAGTCTTGTCTTGTCTTGTTGCGTTTAATGGCGGTTGGGAAACAACTTTTCGGTGTGCATTACCGCCACCAACTGGTGAGGAGTGTGGATCAGAATGGCTCTATTCATACTCATAATCCTCCTAATTATTCCTGTTATTTAAATATTTAAATAAGTATTGATAACTTTTGTTTCAGTTTTTCTGCAGAATATATATCTAATCAAATGTAACTTTCTCCATATTTAGGTCTCTAACCAAATTCTTTCTTTTTTCTTCATACTTCTTACAACACATCCCTACATGTTCTACTGTTTCGTCTTGTCCACAATATTCACATTTGCCTGACATATGTTTCCCTATTTTGAATGGTGTATTATTTAATCCTGTATGTCCAAATCTAAGTCTTGAATTAACTGTTTCCTCTCTTCTGCTTCCTTCTGCTATCCTCATTTCTCAGACTTTCCGTTGAATCCTATAAAACCATCTTACTCTCCTTTCTTCTTCCCATTGTTTTTGCCACCTTTCCTTTATCCTTTGTTTAATGATACTTTTAATTTCTTTCTTACTTAACTTAATCATCATATCAATGGTTTTATTTTGTGATGCTTCCTTAGCAATATTGTCTGCAATTTCATTTCCTTTAATCCCTATATGTGCTGGCATAAAAAATAAATATAAAATATAAATATAAAACAATATTTTTTCGTGGCGGGCATGGCCATTTTTGCCCAAATATATTAAAACGATGATGTCACTTCTGACATCATCCGGCAGTGACGTCACTGTGCGGTAAGCCGAAGGCCATTCTCCCCGCTTTATAAGCAAAATCAATGGGAACTACTAAACACACCTGCAATCAACAAAAATTATTTAAGATTTCGAGAGGACTTCACCATTGAAATTCACGAGAGCTATAAAAGTGACAATGCCTGCGTGCATAGCACTTGGTTGTAATACATCGGGTAAAAGTGAAAAAAAATTAGTTACGGTATTTTATCTTTCCAATTCCTGATCCACCACTGGTTCGTTGTTGGATTGCCAACTTGAAGAGAATTTTTCACCAACTTCTGGCCAGAGAAAAAACAAGTCATTAAATCGTTACTCTCTGCTTTGCATAGTGCACTGGTTGTCACCATCGTGGATAATAGCGCGTAGTGAGAAACACAAGATACAGCACTGGGACTTGCTCAAGAGGCGATACCGCACTGTGACATCACAAAGTTGGTGGCAGTAGTGCACTTTGACAAACATGGATGTCTCCAGTAAAGCACATTCAAATGAAATTAATCTTAATTAAAAGCACTTATCATTTATTGAATAGTATGTAATAATTTCATTCTTAAAGTACTTTTAGAAGTTTGTATTCTGAATGTGACCGGACTTTTCCTTTAAATAAACAGATCAGACTCACTGGTTGGCATACATCAGCACTACATAAAAAACAGAGGAAAATTATCTTAAATTTACATTGCTTTTAACTTTTTTAAGGCAGCTAGTATCGGAATAAAAAAATATTGCAATTAGAACAGCTTTCAGAGTCTATGTTTTTTCTGTAAACCTCTTTTTCTGCTCTAGTGTATATCATGTTTTACCTTGTAATTGTATTTTGATGAAAACCTCCCTTAATAAATACAATCCACACAATTGTACAGTCGACCCTGCTTGCCCCCTATTTTGTAACCACATGTTTAGCCTCAACCTGTTTCCATTTTGTACTGATATTAAAATCCTTTGTACTTAATGTACTCAAACATTATGTATAATTTTGTTGTTGTTGGACAGCATCATATAAAAGTTGTTTCGTTATATAATGTGAAAACAATACAATATCTATACAGATGCAAATCTGAAGGGGGCAACAGCCCCCCTGCTTTAAACCCCCCCCAGTGGCCTCTGTACTTTTATTGTACTAATATGCATGTCATTTGTTTGCCCAAAAGCCCCTTGCAGCCTTTAAATCAAACAATTTATCAAATAGTGTCATGCAAAAGTACGGTTTTAAATCTTTTTAACAAATAAAGTGAAGAATGGGGTGTGCAAAATTTATCGGCCCCTTTACTCTCAGTGCAGCAAACTCTCTCCAAAAGTTCAGTGAGGATTTCTGAACAATGCAATGTCGACCTAAATGACTGATGATGATTGTAATGGCAGCATGCGCGGCCCAACAATAAATGGTCTGGTAATTCTTTTTATTTAAATTTAGCATTTTATACTTGTTAACCATATTGATTTTGATTATTTTTTTACTTGTGATTTGGAATTGGTTAACTATTTGGGTGCACACATTTGGTTGACTAATTTATTACATTTTGCTTGTATGGTTTATTTTAAACTAATACTTTTATTTTGAGTTGCCAGTCCCTGGGAGGCTGCCATGTGGGCTTGGCTGGGCTAGTGAAGCAAGATTCCCAGCTGCAAAGAATCTCAGTGGCAGTGAGACTTAACTAGACTCTTACACTTATTTTAGAAGAAGGTTTAAAGGTATAAACCTTAGTCAGGTATAGTTCAGGTATATACTTTCCAAACAAAGATTTACACTTTTTTCCACTATTTTAGACTTACCACTAGCAAGAGAAAATGGGGACGAGCACATAGGATGGCCGAACGTAAGCATATCACCAGAATGATTGACGATTAGGAGGACCACTTATGTAGATGATCCACCCAGAAGAAGAACATCCTTGAATATACCTTTACGTTTTTCCATTTTGGTATGTTTTTGTTGTAATCAAAGTTGGAGAGTTTAATTATTTAAATAATTTTCTCTGAGGTTGCTGATTTTGTATTGTATAGATTAGTTTGGACTTCATGTTGTAGTTTTGTTTAGGTAAATGTATGAATGTTCCCTCTTGTGTCAAAATGACCTAATCAGCCAGTATATAAGTTCCCTTTGTGTGTTTTTTTTAAGTCAATTAATAGATAAGTTGCTTGTGTTAAGTTTGGTTTTGTTGACCTCATTTTCTTTTTGCGTCCAGATTTATGTTTAGAGTTCATATATTTT